AATTGAAAGTTATTTTGTATCACGTATATTAAAATACTTCTCTTGTTTAATATCTTATTCCTAAACACTTTATCTTTTGCAATTCTATTCATAGTGACTATTGAAATAATATCACTTCCTCTTTTGTTTGTTGTTTTTTAAACTTCAGATATGCTATTATATACATCAACCGCAATTTCTTCGATTTTGGTAATTTCTGAACTGATGTCACAGAATTATCAATTATAGCTTCCCAAAACTGCATTTGCATCATATCATTCTCTTTAAATCAACAGCTTCTAAACATTTTATGTTATATACAAATTTGATTTCATGTATTTTTGATACAGTTGTCACATCTACACACAATGGAAAGCTTGTAAGATGTTTATCCTTTCTCTTGAACTCTAAATAAAATGATAGAGAAGTATCATTTGAAATCTCCATAAAAAATATCATACATTCAAGGTTGTCGTACGTGCAATATGGGGACAACAATTCCGGTTATTTTATCACTTGTACATTCATCATCTTGTATTCATTTGCCGTTATAACAAATGAAAACATTAACTTTATCCATAACTACAAAAATATTACAAAGAAATTGTGCGAAACTATTTTTTTTTAAAAGTAACAGAATGTCACTTTTTTACATTATTCTTTTCTCAAATACCTAGCATGCATCACTTTAATTTATTCAAAGTTTTATTTTTCATTTGCATTAACATAAAATAAAGTTTGAATTTGTATATTCAAATTTTCAAAAATGCATTTGTATGCATCTAGTTAATTGCTCCAATGAGATACTGTTACTTTTTTTTTTGAGAAAGGTGACAAAATATCACTTTTTCGCATTCTACTTTTGAGTAAACACCTTATATGTATCAATTTAATTGATTCAAAGAGTCCAAGGGGTTTTCAAGCGTTGCGGTAATGAGCAGTAACAAAGATGAGTAGAGCATTCCTTTCGCCTAGGAGAGCATGGTGAGATAGATAGATGTCCAATCCTGCAACATAAAACAAGGTTTGAATCGAATGTTCAAATTTTCAAAAACACACTTGTATGCATATAGTTAATTGCTGCAATGAAAAGTGATAGAATGTCACTTTTTCATAGAAAAGTTACAGAATGTTACATTTTCACATTCTCCTTTTGTCAAACGCCTTGCACGCACCATTTAACTGATTCAAAGCTAACTATCATATGTATTAATTGTTGGGGAAATTTACACCGACTACGTGCATATTATATTTACAAAAGCATATCGGTTATTTGCGTGAAACCGAAACATAATTTCAACTTACTGAAATAGGATTTGAGAAGCAAAACATAAAAGTTACCGAATCTGAATGCATGAATATTGATTCATCCTTTTCGATTCTTGAAAGAAAGTAAATTATTCTTTTGATCGAACCTTGCAATATAAACATGTAAATAATGTTAATCATTCCCGAAATCAAAATATAATCAAAAGAAATCAAAAAACTATAGGAAGAAAGATGCAAGTAATGAATTTTTGGTTGAGACAAGTGTTTGACACTTGGTCCTTAAGAGGAATTTGCCCCGCATCAGTGCTAACGGTTTTTCGACAATCATCTCCTAAGATACAACGACCACGTCAAGTCATAGGAGCACTTCAAATGACTTCGACCAACGAACTTGAACGGAATTCTCTCTCTACCAAGGAAATGTTTGAAAATGCTATGAAATTTAGAAAGAAGAGAATTGCAAGTGGAGAATGAATGCTCAATGCAATTGGTGTACCCGAAACCATGTCCATAGGATTCTATTTATAGATGTAGAAAGGGTGCAAATGAAGTAATGTGGGTCAAAACATACATCCTTTCAAAAAGTTGCAACACTTGGCCAAAACCTGCATCCTTTCGAAAAGTTACAACACTTCATTTCTTCCAATTTTGATCTGTAATTTCTCATTCATCCGGAATTGGTTTCGAGATTCCAAATATACCACGACGATTTACTCAACGAGTAGAATAAGTCGGTCTATTTACTTTTGTAATTTGATCATCGGATCAAGTCCAAATATTTAGTCGAAGTTGACATGTAGTCACACCTTTTCATTTTCCACTTTTACACACCTTTTCATTTTCCAATTTTTTTTTTTTTTTTGGTTAATTATTTGAACCAATTCTTACATTAACACATTCCATTTCCTCTCAAGTTCAATAATGTTATAACAGAACGAGGTTTCGATCTCTAAATGGATCTGCTATACCTTCCAATCACACTGAAATACCTGTCATGCTTTAGATGTTATTTTCAGCCACCTTTGATTTTCAGAAATTGGAGGCTGATTTTTAACAAATACACACCTATAGATTGACATAATAACTCAAAAATCAAACAATGTGTAAATTTCCTCTTTCAGAAGGAATTGTTTTCTCTTTCACTAGGAAAACAAACTGTAAACCTCAACATATTGAACATAAAAACATAAACTATATCAAAATCAACCAAAATATGAACATATTGAATAGAAAATGAGAAATAATACAAACCTGGAGATTTGGATTGATTATTTATAGAATTGATGAATAAAACTTTAAAGAAGATGTAGATGAAGTAACTTTTAATCTTGTCTAGTCTTAGATTTTGCTTGATTTCGAGCTGGGCGGAGTTGGAATTTTGGAGCTACTGGATTGGATTCTTCTTTTTATTTGTAGAAATTACCGAAATCTTTGCAGCTTGTTGATTGAAATTTACAGTATTTACTTTTTAATACATATTTATCATGATTTTCCAAAATGAACAAAAAATAAGGGTATTTGTGTAAGTTCTCCGTTTTAGTGGCCTTATACTGCAACTTGATAATGATGAATCTCTTTTTAATTAGAATAATTAGTTAACTTGTTAATTAAATAATTAATTATCTGACATAAATTTGGATTATTTTCTATTTAGACAGTTTACGACAAGGAAACTTGTGGCAGCCAGGTTCGTTTAGCTATTTAGACTACATAGCTAACCATTAGACAGGTTTTAATCCACCTTGTGGCAGGCAGGATCTGATAGCTAATTAATTTAAAATGCAAAAGGTATTCCTTGACCAGCTTAAGTACAAATTAATCCAAAAGCTCATAGCTCATTAAAAATAATCAGGTTTTCTTTAAAGGTATTTCTCACTTTGCATTTTCCCATTCGAATAAAAAAGCAACAGCTGACAAAAAAGGGGGGGGGGGGGGGGGGGTTGTTGAATTTAGAAAAAAAAATTAGTTTGCAGTCCCAGGCAAATAAAGATGAAAAGAATAATTGAACAGGGTATCATGCGATACTAAGACAGAATACTCAACGCAGGGGCCATGAAACAAACTAAACACCGACAACGTTTCCAGTTTAGCATCCAATCGATAAGAAGAAAAAGTACCACATTCAATATTCTCTCATTCCATACAGTTACCATGCGACAAAAACAGAGAAAGAACACAATTTTCTAGGTTGAGAAAGGGGTTACTGAACAACTGCCACTCTTGTGCTCATTTAAATTGACAAAATCAAGAACTTTCCCCCATAAATGGGCAAACAGGGGTGATAATGACTTTTGATTGTTGACCTAGTTGGAGAATAGGTACATTGGTATTCAACACCAAACGTAAAGATACAAATGTATAAAACGAACTCGCCATAGATCTAAAAGACAATCTTCAAAATTTAACTAAAATCTACAACATTTAAATCAAACAAGATATAAGCCAACTGTTCATTCTACTCTACTCAAAAGTGAAAGCAACAAAACATACGCTTAAAACCAATCAAAGGTACAATAATTCATTAATTAAGTTTTAAAATCCAAATATACCCACCAGAACTTTAATTTCTTAAAGCTAAAAAGTTCAGATTAGCACAAAAATAACTTCTAGAAACCAATCCGATCTATCCAAAATCCATTAAATAACAATGAATCAGAAAGAAAATAAGTATCATTTGCTTAAAACCTTCATAAAAAACAAACAATCTGAAAAGTGAAAACTTAACACGCAAAAAGTTAGATAACTATTTTAACTGCAAAATAATTGACAAAGCAATCAGATCAATCCAGTAAACGGATCTATAAGCACCAAAATTGGAACTTAACTTCAGTAACTAATATCAAAACAGTCGATCAAAAACTTTATAAAAAAAAAATTACAAAATTCATAAAAAGCAAAGCGGTGTAAATAAATTACCTGAGAAACGAACGGAATGAGAAAATACTTCTCTCGGACCGAAATTGTCCAAAAGCGGCGCCTCTGAAAACCCTAATATGGAGTTTTTTTTTTCTTTTTTTTTTTTTAATTAAAATGCTAATTATAAATTTTCAGAGAAATTGTGTGCACGCTAAAGGGGAAAGAATCATCAAGTGATAAAAAATTGTCCTACTCTTCTGGAAATTCAAGAAGGGCTATTACGCCTTTTAAGCACATTCCAGTTAATATCAATTCCTATTGACTTAATTAACATCTAAGAGCATGTACGGCTAAGTGGGGCAACAAACGGGGCAAAAAGTTGCCCCGTCCCCGCCCCGTGCCCTGCCTTGCCCCGTCTAAGGCGGGGCGGGATTTTTGCCAAACGGGGCGGGGCAGGGCTGGGCGGGGGTTCCCCACCCCGTTGCCATCACTACTTGCCATCCATTTTTGCCATTAAAAACGCCAGCCTCTTACTTGGCCATTATTTGAAGGGCATTTTCATCGGTCCGCAACACCATTCTTGAGAAAAACACTTTCAAAGGCAAAAGGAATGTTAAGAGTTGAAGGGAATGGGTTTGGAATGGCGGAAAATTCCTGAAAAAATTTCCAATTAGCCTTTTTGTTTCATATATTTGAGAGAATTAGGTTGGCGGCCGGTAACTTATTCTAAATAGAACAAGAAAGTAGTTAACTTTCAATTTATAGTGATCGTTTAAGTAACCATGTGTTGGGCCTAATTATAAAGTATAAATTTGTGAAATTAACATAAATCACACTAAGAATTTTCTACGATTCTCCTAGTCGAAAATATATGGCAGCAAAATAGCCGAACTCTAACGTTGATGGTGAACATATATATTGTTTTCCTCTACCAATTTTAGACTTCATCAAAGTAATTAAAACTGGTTTTAAGTTCAGTTTAAGGGTCGTCATGTCAAGACGGAACTCTCAGCTCAATTCAGATCAACTTCGTACAACTTCCAACTCAACTCGACTTATCTTCGAAAACGAACTGCAGACGTCATTTGGAGAACATCATCATTACACTCTGATTTCCCTCACTTCAAGGCTGACATCACACCTTTATCTAACGCAATTGCTTTGGGATACATGGCAAATATCATGGGGCACCTGAAATCGTTACCAATCACAATTTCACAATTATTATTCCCCATCTCAGCACCAACTTGGCACATGGAAGCCGACCTCAATTATCAATTAAAATTAGATCAGCGACACACATATTAAGGCCGACACTGTAGCTGATTTAATGTATCACAAACCAATTTGCATATTCTCTACTATAAATGGGTTTATAATGGTCCCTCATAGGGACCTGAAGAAAACAAGGGTACGAAACTTACTTCAAACTCTCACCATTTGATAGAAAAATGCTCTTTTTATTGTTTCAGCACAGTTTACATATTTCTGCTTCAATTACCACTTTCAAATCATTAATTAAGAACAAAAGTGACCTAATCATTTTTTAATGTCAACAATTTGGCACTAGAAGAAAGGCAACAACCCCATATCTTTCATAAAAAATTCTCAAAAACTATGTATCCTACCTAAAAAGTCACCATGAGCAACAATTCGACGTCCAGAAATCCAGCTCGAACCCCTCACAACACAAGTATTTTCATGAATTCCACAAGAAAATGATTCTGCTGAAAATGTTAACCCTCGCTATGATGAGGAAAGCAATAGAAGGTCTGAGTAACATTGTTAGCAGGATGAGAGAACGAGGTCCACACGTCTCCTATAGCTGATGCCGAGGCGAAATCTCTAGATTGGGAGCGAACTGGCCGACCTTCCACTAGGAAAAGTCTTCACTTCTCTGTGAAGACTCGTCTAGGAGTCGGACTAAGAAGCAAGTCTCCTCCAATGGGAAGGACTCACCAAAAAGCTGGAAGTGTTTTCGATAGATTAGGCTCCCAACTATCACCATCACCTAAGAGTAGGAGAATTAATCGCTTCAAAGGGGAAGGCCTAAAAAACGAAGAACTCGAGATGAACCTACTAAAAAAAGGCATAGCCAACCTAGAGGCCAAACACAAGAGTTCCTTGGATGAATACTCCATTGTCTTCCATTCTCTTCTCACAGAAGATATATTAGCTGAGCCATTGTTCGAAATGTTAAGCATGCATCAACCCACTAGCTACAATGGGGAAAGAGATTTCCTTAGCCATCTGGACAAATACACGTCCTATACGGAACTACAAAGAGCTAGCAATGCCATCATGTGTCAAGCTTCCCGTAACATTAGGGGGACAAAGCTCAAGGTGGTTTAGAAGGTTGCATCAAATGTCTATAAAAATTGGAATGACCTGGCTAAGGAATTCTAATCTAAGCTCATGGGTTCTAAAGCCAGAAAAAGGCCAAAGGAATGCCTTGTGAGTGTTAGACAAGGACATAGGAAATCCTTGAAAAGCTACCTTAACAGATTTAATAAACAGTCTATGGATGTAGAAAGAACATTGGACGACGCTGTGGTCAGTCCAAGAAGATAGACCCAGGACCTATCATGAATTCCTAAGTATGGTAGAAGATCACATCAGAGGGAAAGAGGTGACTCAGATCAAGAAGAGCGAAAGGTTGACCCCAATCATTCAGTTCATCCTAAATATAAAAAGATAGATAAAAAGTCCACATTCAAACGCAGAAAAGAAAAGTGAGATTCCGACTGACCTCGCCCTTATCCTGTGAGATTTTATCATTACCATCCCTTTAATGCCTCTTTGGAGGAAGGATTCATGCAAGTAGGAGATTAGGAAGTCTTCTACAAACCTCAACCCATTAAGAAAAGCCCACATGGAATGAATCAATACAGGTACTGCAAGTTCCATAGGACAACTAGTTACCACACGGATAACTATCTTGAACTAAAGAACAAATTGAGTCATTGATCAGGCAACGTCAACTTAGGAAATTTATATCTTCGTCAGCCAAACAGAAATCCCTAGGAAAGGAATGAGATCAGAATGCTAGTAAGAGAAAACCAATGTATGAAAGGTTCCCGAAGAAAACGTCGAAGACAAGCTAGGGATGCCTTGGTATGGGAGAACTATAAAATAAGACGTTGTAAACCCAACCTCACTATCCCCAAAGGCTTAGAATGGTTCGATTTTTCAGAAGAAGATTTCCAAGGAGTGATGCAAAATCAAATTGATGCTTTAGTCATACCATGCTCGTCGTCGGAATCCGCGTAAGAGGAATCCTCGTTGACAATAGGAGTTTTGTCAACGTGCCATACTCAAAGACCTTGGCAAAAGGGGAATCGAGAACAAGTATTTACAGCCTTACCCTAGAAAGCTGTGAGGCTTCTCTAGAGATCCCATTGAAGCCCGATGTTAGAGCTTTGATCATTGAGACTTTGGAGAAATATTTGCCAAAGGAAAGTCATTGCTGATTTCATGGTAGTAGACCTACCATCCAACTTTAGTGCCATCCAAAAGGACTTATACTTCACGAGCTAAAGGCAAAAACGTCAATTTATCGCTATTGCATGAAATTTCCTACCTCCAACTAAGTAGGTATATTTCGAGGAAATCAAGCTAAAGCTCGATCGTACAACATTGACCTACCCAGCTCAGGAGTACAAATGCTCCGCAAAGGGCCATACGACAGATCAAATGAGTCCAGGCTGAGAAACCCATCTTCACGATCTAACTAAGATAGGAATTACTCTTGAATATTATAGAAGGCATGAGGATAGTTGCCCGCTAACCAAAACCAAAGAAAACAAACTCACATCCTTTCTTAGGTATTTTAATAGTGGCTTTACCAATAGCCATCATAATGGTTCCTCGAGTTCTAGTCCATATTGTCAGGGCCCTCAACATTTTATATGTCAACACTCTAAAATAGATGGAAATTCCGCTCCAATTTTTGTAACCGTACCCAAATGTAGTTCTCGAACTGAATGGAGGCTTGACTATGGCAAATGGGCAAATCAAACTCGTTGTTAATATCGAAAATGCTCTCTTTCGAGCTTACATCGACGCTAACTTGTAGTGTTTGACTCCGTCTTTTCTTATGACGCGATCATGGGACAATTCTTTACTATTTGACTTAAAGGCCATCACGTTGGTTTATCACTACTCCGTCAAGTTTTCCATTCTCCATGGTCCGGGGAGATCAAAGGGAATAAGGAAGCTACTGAAGGTTGTCATGTTATACATTGTCTGCAAATTCTCCACATCTCATTCCAACACGGAGTAAACATGGACTACCTAGGAAAACCTGATCTCAGCTCATTAGATCCTAGAATCAAGCTAAAAGATAAATGAGCCGAACCCATTGAGAAACTAGATAAGGTCCAGATCAGCTCGAACGTATCCTTGAAAGAGCTTTGAATTGGGCACAAACTATAATAACCACTCAGGTTTGAACTTGTAAGATTCCTTAGCGGCAACTTCAATGTGTTTGCCTAGAGTCAAAAGGACATGGAAAAAATCTATCCTAGGATTGCTTATCACCGGCTTAACATAGATCATGTAGCTCGGCCAAAATAGCAAAGATGGAGATCACTCAATGTTGAAAGATATGAAGCCCTACAAAAAGAAGTGGAGAAGCTACCTAGGAAAACCTGATCTCAGCTCATTAGATCCTAGAATCAAGCTAAAAGATAAATGAGCCGAACCCATTGAGAAACTAGATAAGGTCCAGATCAGCTCGAACGTATCCTTGAAAGAGCTTTGAATTGGGCACAAACTATAATAACCACTCAGGTTTGAACTTGTAAGATTCCTTAGCGGCAACTTCAATGTGTTTGCCTAGAGTCAAAAGGACATGGAAAAAATCTATCCTAGGATTGCTTATCACCGGCTTAACATAGATCATGTAGCTCGGCCAAAATAGCAAAGATGGAGATCACTCAATGTTGAAAGATATGAAGCCCTACAAAAAGAAGTGGAGAAGTTTCTCAACAACGAGTTTACCAAGGAAGCTACTTATCCCAAATGGGTGGCTAATTCTGCTTTGGTGAAGAAAAGCGATAGAGATTGGAGGGTCTTATAGATTCCACCGACCTTAACAAAGCATGTCCTAAGGATATTTTTCCATTTTTCAAGGGTAGACCAAATGGTCGACACCACAGCTGGATATGAGCTCGTTGACTTTATGGAAGCCTACTTCGATTACAATCAGATTTCCATGTACGAAATTGATCGGGAACACACTTCGTTCATAGTTGATCAGGGCTTGTACTGCTACAAGATGATGTCATTTAGCTTAAAAAATGCCAAAGCAACATATCAAAGGTTCTTAAATCATCTTTTGCCCAATAAATCGGCAAAACCATAGAAATTTACATTGATGACATGCTAGTAAAAAGGACCAAAGCCAAAGACCACATCTAGCACTTGTCAGAAATGTTTGTAATCCTTCGAAAATATAAAATGAAGCTTAACCTCCTCAAGTGTGCATTCAGAGTCAACCCTAGCAAATTCTTAAGCTACATGGTAAACCACTGGAGGATAGAAGCCAATCCAAAGAAAGTTTGAGTTATCCACTAAATGAAAACTCTAACTCAACCTTAGAAGATACAAAGTCTCACAGGATGAATTGCAGCATTGAGTATATTTTTCTTCCGATCCAAGATTGTTGTAAACCTTTTTTCGATATAATCAAAAGATGAAATAAGCTTTAATGGACTAAAAAATGTCACAAAGCCTTCGATGAACCGAAAACGTGACTATCTCAACCTTATCTCCTTTCAAAGTCTACGGCTAATGAAAAATTGTCACTATACCTAGCCATATTCGAGCACGCTCTTAGAGTTGCACTCATCAGAGAAGAAGATGGCATCTAGTACCCAGTTTATTATGTTAGCAAGGCACTCTACGATACTAAGCTACGCTAATTTTCCTTGGAAAAACTCGCTTATGCCTTAGTTATGTCAGTAAGAAAGCTACGGTCCTACTTTCTAGAACATCCTGTACATGTCTTGACCAGCTATTCTCTAAGATAAAGACTGCAAAAGCCAGACATCTCAGGATGTCTAGTAAAATGGGTCATTGAGCTAAGCTAATTTGATATATATTACAATCTACGAACAACTATAAAAAGTCAAGCCTTAGTTGACTTCGTAGTTGAATTTAACTCAGATCCCCGAAGAGAGATATACAAA